GACAGGTTGCTCTGTTAACCATACTGGGATTTGGGATCAGTTATGATCCTCCCCAGAGCTGGGACAGAGGAGGTGTTGCAGAGAACTTTCTTGCCAGAGCTGGGTGGTTTCAAAGATCACCCGAGGTGTGTATATAGTTCCCGGAGAGCCAAGCCCCAGGAAAGTATGTCCTTATAGCTCACATGGGGCTTTGCCATTATGAGTTGTTTTTTTACTCATGTCATTTGAAAGTCACTTGAATAGATGCTTCCCAAAATAAGCCTCAGGCATCCCTCTGCAACCTCACTGGGGCTGCAAACCTGGCTTGCTTTGGTCTCATCTCTCAGTGGGGTCTTGTTCAGCACTGGGTTAGGCACACGCGGGGGCACAGCATGTTAAATCTGCCTGGATCAGAGTCCAGGATCTTTGTGGCTGTTAACCAAGCACATGTGTGGATCTGTGTGTGGAAGGAGCAGATGGGACTGTGCCTGAAACGTGAGCCCTGCTCTGCCCTGCCCGAGGGGATTGCACTTGGCTCTCTGTTGACTTCTGACCCACTCCCGTAGGTGTTCCTGTGTTTAATAACATACCTCTCCATGGTTGGGAAGCGGCCCTGGCACGAGGCCAGCAAGGACCTGCCCTACCTGTGTTCTTGGCTGGAGTTTGTCCCCACTGCTGTGGCTGCCAGAGGTGCCAGGGAAGGAGGGGAGCACAACTGGTTTGGCCTCAGTGTCACTGACCCTGAGAGCTGGAATCACCAGGATCCCTGGGGGCAGAGCTCCCTGTAGCCAGGAACAGCCAGGGATGGGCTGGTGGCTCTGAGAAGCTGGTTACTTGTCCCTGGGCGAGAGCCCTGATGTTTTCCATGTTGGGAAATCACAGGATTGTTAGGGTTGGAGGGGACCTCTGTAGATCACCCAGTCCAACACCCTTGTGAAGGCAGGGTCACCTGGAGCAGGTGACACAGGAACTTATCCCAGTGGATTTGGAATGTCTCCAGAGAGGGAGGGTTCCCATCCTCTCTGGGCAGCCTGTTCCAGTGCTCTGCTACTCTCAATGGAAGGTTCTTCCTTGTGTTGAGGTGGATTGTGTGCTTGTATCAATGACAGGGAGAGAAAAAACCTTGTTCTCAAGGAGTTTGAGTCGGTGTCACCCCCTTGTAGCTGTGACGTGAAGACCAGGGCAGTGTGGAGTTTTCGTTCTCCCACTGCATTTTTAGGTGTTTATCTCATTTCCATTAAGTAAAGCTGTGGCAGTAATTTTTTTCCTCCCACAAGACTTGGCTGTGGGGGCTGTGACAGCCCCTTCTTGGTCCCTGTCATCTGTCACCCAGAGCTGTGCTCCCCTGGGACTGTGGGATACGGGTCAGGTAGCAAAACTGGCAGAGAAACCAGGAAGATTTTCAAGGGGAATGATGACACACAAACACTTGCTGGAGTCCCAGCCCTGAGATGCTGAGAGCTGTGACCTGGAAGTGTTTCTGACCCTGTGCTGTTCTTGCTGACAGACCCACCACAGTCAACTCCGAAGTGCTGGGCTGAGACTTCTTCGTCAGGGCTGATGCTGCAGCTGTTTTGCAGCTGGCCTGGGGGGTACCCACACCCCACCCTGCACTGGAGAGAAGAAGGGCACGATTTGGAGAACTCCAGCTGGGTCATCAGCTCCACGAGCTCCTCAGACACCCACGTGGAGACACTGAACAGCTCCCACCTCTCCCACCGCAAAGTCTTCACGTGTGTCGGCAGCCACGTGGTCAAGCAGGAGCAGCCTTCGTGCACTGTGGAGATAAGTGAGTTGATTTGCTGCCTCATTAACTGTTAATTTGGCTGCTAACAGTTGGGCAGGTCGGTACTCCAGTTGTTCCCTGCCCTCTGGAGCACTGAGGTGGTCAGGGAAGCCAGGAGGCTTGGCTTGTGCAGAGCTGATAGCACAAGGCACAGACATCCTGCAGCTGAGATCCTTCTTGGCATAGCTGCAGGTGAGCTGTGTCTTGGGTCAGTCTTCAGGGGACCCAAATCTCAGCCCAGCAGGGTTTTCACCTGTGAAAAGCTTTTGCACACACCTGTGTGAAAGTGAGAGGTGGTTTTAGTGCCTTGTTCAGGTTGAGATTAAGCTTGGTAGGGCTGGGGTTACAGGAGAAGGGTCATGTGTGCCTCCAGAACCCTTCAGGCATCTCAGGGATCTGTCTAAAGTGGTTTTTGAAAACCCAGGCTGTATTTATCTTCCAAGGGTTGTCAGGGCTTCACAAGAGGTCTTCTGATCCCGAGGAGACTTCCTGGGCTGCCTCTCTCCTCTCTCCCATCTTCCCTCTGGCTATCCTCAGACCATTCTTCCCTGGGGATATAAAGACAAGTGTCAGAAGGGACAGAGCACCGTGGAATCTGCTCAGGTCACTGCTCAGGAGGCTCCTGAGTGAACTGAATGCTGAACCCACAGTGTTCCCCCATCAGACTCCTGCCTGGCTCCCTTCTGTTAATGATTATTAATCAGTCAGATGGCTGATTGCTTGTTATGTTAATTGCCTCCATTCCCTCCTTGGCTCCCATTTTTCTTTTCCCGTTGGGCTGTTCAGAAATCCCTTCACTGGAGTCAGAGCCCCCCAAGACCTGCTTTGTGGGTGATAACGTGACCCTGACGTGCCGTGTGACCGAGAGCACGCCGGCAGCACGGATCAGCTGGCTGCGGGACATCACCCAGCCAGAGGTGGAGATCCAGCCTGGAGGGAGGTTCCTCATCACCCAGGAGGGCAGCGTGTCCCGGCTCACCATCCAGAACTGCTCCCAGGGCACCGACGGGGGCTGCTACGTCTGCAAGGCCCAGAACCCCGTGGGGCTGAGGGAGCTCTTCATCTGCCTCACCGTGAAGGGTGAGTGGGGCTGCTGCTGGGAGGGGTGGGGACACACCACATTTGCCACTAAGAACCTGCTCTTTGACGAGCACTGGGAATTCCTCATCCATCTGCATCCTGGTGACAAGCCTATGTCTCCTCTCCACAGAGCCAGTGAACATTGTTGGGATCGTGGGTGCCGTGGTGGTCCTGTCCCTCCTGGTTATTCTCACCGTCACCGGGGTTGTCTTGTACTACAGTCCCCTCCTGTGCCTGAGAGGTAGGGATTGGTTCCTCCTTCCTGGTTTATCTCTCACCTGCCTGTCCCTCCAGGTGTGCTGGAGTCTGTCAGGGTTGCACGTGTGGACAGGTGACCTTCACGTGTGTGCCTCTGCGTGGGGACTGTCCGGTTGCTGGCAGCTCCATGTGGAGGCACAGACATGGAGGCAGGACTGGCAGGGGTTGTGCAGCCCAGTAGAACCAGTAGCACTGCCCAAGGGGGCTGGTTTCTAACCCTGTCTTTCCCTTCTGTCCCGTTCAGGTGCTGCATTCAGGTGAGTGTTGACATTCCTCAGCCCAGCCCTGTGTGGCCTCACTAGTCTGCCTTCCTAAAGGGCAGGGAACAGGCTCTCCTCAGCCTTTCATCCCACCTCCACTTGCTCTGCTGTTCCCAGGCATGCAGACTCAGGTGATGTCTTAGTGCTGGTGGACTCAGAAGATGACGAGGAGGGGAAGGGGGACGAGGAGGCCACGAGCAGCTGCACCAAGCAGGAGGCGATGGCGCTGGTCGATGGGAACAGTGCCCAGGCTGCTTATCTGACCTACCTCACGGAAGGTGAGCCCTGGGGCAGAGCCACCTGTTCCCTGCTAAGCTGTGGGTCTTCCTGGAGCACCTGCCAGGGAGGGAGGAGTTCCTGTTGGCTGTGGCTGAGATGCTGCTGCTCTGTGCCTTGCATAGGTGATGATGGAGAGCTCCACGGCGGGGTTTCTCTACAGGAAGCAAGGGGATAAGAGACACAAGGCTCATAACTTCCATCCCTCCTTGAGGAAGCACATGGAGCTCCAGCTGGAATCCAGCATCAAGCACGTCCTCAATGCGTGTGGCTGAGCACAGGCTGTCGGTGTCCTGCGATGGGCTAGTTCAGTCAGAGCCTTCCCACTCCTTTCTCCACTCACCCCTTCCACAGTTTCACTCCGTCCTTCCCCAGCCACATTTCTCTGTTTCTCTCCTCTCTTCATGTTCCTCTTTGTCTCAGGTGTCCTTAAAACAAGGTGACACCCAGCAGAGCGTGGGAACAGTAACCCACTCACCTTGGTGCCTGTGAAGGACTCGAATTCCTGTGTGGGATTCTGGCTCAGTCCCCATGAGCAGTGCTGGGACAGAGAAAGTCGCCACAGGGCCACAGTGGTCCTGGGATAAGGGAAGAAACGAGTGTGTGCAGGCAGGACCTGGGTGATGCTAAGTCTGGGGAGACTGAGTTGTTTTTATTATAAATATTTTTTCCCCTATTCCGCCTGAAATGTTGCTCTGTGTCTGAGTCAGGAGTTAATCTGTTCCTTCCAGGGTGGCTTTAAGGGGGATGCCTGACCATGATGGAAAGCATGGAGGGAACTTGTACAGGGAGGGGTTGAGGGAAGCAGGATCCACACAGAGGGGATCACAGGGGCTATGGGTGGGTGACAGAGGGTCAGAATGTGCAGGAAGGGTGGAGGGACAGGTCCAGTGTGAGCACCCTGAGGGATAAAAGGAGGGGTGGAAAGGCGCAGAGGGGAGGAGGGAGGCATCTGAGTGTGCTTGGAGGGAGTGGGGGGATCGACACACACATGGGAATGGCCAAATGGAGTAGGATGGGGTGGGATGGGGGAGGAGAGGAGTAAACTGAAGCGGGGAGTGGTGTGAGAGAGTGTGTAGAGTGATGGAGGAGGGAGTGAGTCCACACAGGGTCTCTGTGTGCAGGTTAATTATGGGGGAATGAGCACTCACAGGGGGATGAATGGAATCTGATGGCACATGGAGTGGAAAGGAAGCAGTGCTGGGGCATGTGGGGAGGGGCAGCGTGTGCACTGCTGAAGTCAAGGGGGCTGAGCACCGTGCCCTCACAGCAACGCTGAGAGCCATGCCAGGAAAATCCCAGGGAGCTGCGGGAGCCTCCGGCTGCCCCTGGCAACAGTGTTGTGCTGCTGCCATCTCGTCTGCCCCGCTCCCAGCTCCTCCACAGGCCCCGGGGCGAGGAGGAGCCGCCGGCCGAGATGGACTCGGACCTGGACGAGCATTTGCGCGCGGCTTTCCGGGACAAGCTGCGGCTGCTGCTGTGAGTGAGACCCCTCCTTCCTCCCGGGGATGGGCAGCTGCTCCCGGGACAGGCGCTGCTGGCTGGAGCAGAGCAAGGTGTTGGCGACGGGGCTAGCACGTCCTGCGTCCCCGGGGCTCTCGATCTGTGTTGCCGCTGTCAGGGTGGGCGTCACTGGGTGGGTGCTGTGTCCCTAGGGAGGAGGGCACCCCAGCTGTGGGCTGGGAGGAGGGGAGGGGATTTGCCAGGGTCTAACCAGAAAGCTGAGGTTGTGCCGTGACTTGTCCTTCCCTGGGGGGCAGCGCTGGCCCTGGGGGTCTCCAGGTGGGGGGAGGCTGAAGCGGGAGGCATGGGCAGGAACGAGGCTGGGCGAGAACCCGAATGCAGGTAGAGATAACCCTGTGGGGTCTCTGCACACACGGGGGATGGGTCAGGCTCTGCAGGCAGTGGTGGTCCGTGGGGGTCCTGCCTATGCCATGGTGGCAGATGCCCCTGCCCGGGCTTTCCTTTCCCCCCCAGCCATGCTGAGCTCCGTGGCAGGACGGTGCCAGCGCGGGATGCAGCCACCCTGCTGCCCTCCACTCGCGTGCTGCTGAAGAGGCGGGAGGTGGCAGAGGTGGAGCAGGAGCTGCAGAGCCAGCGGGAGGTAAGGGCGGCCCCAGTCCCGCCGTGTTTCCCCTCTCCAGCGGCTGTGGCGTGCCCCGGGGACGAGCAGACAGACAGCAGGCTTGTCCCCAGGCTGGCACCCACCCCCGCCTCGGGTGCACCAGCACAGCGTGACGCTCTCGGCACCCGGCTGGTCCCGCAGGAGTTTCGGCAGAGGATGGAGCGCCTGGCGCAGCGCCGGGAGCAGCTGGCCCGGAGGGAAGAGGAGCAGCGGGATGTCGTTCTCAAATACAACGCCTTCCTGAAGGTGCCGGGGCGGGGGCCGGGGCCGGGCTGGCCGCGGGGGCCGCGCTGACCCCGTCCCACCCCGCAGGCTGCGGGGGCCAGGCGGGAGCGGGCATTGCGGCGGGAGGGCCGGGAGCGGGCGCGGGCGGAGGCCGAGGCCGCCCGCCTGCACCGGGAGCTCGAGGGGCTCCTGCAGCACAGGGAGCGCCTGGCCCGGCGCCTGCGGAGCCTCCGCCGCTTCGGGGACTACCTGCGGGACGCGCTGGCCAGCATGGGGCAGGTGAGCCCTGCGGTGCCAGCCTGCGTGTCCCCAGCCCCCCCGAGCGGGGGTCAGCCCTGTCCAGGGCAGCAGCTCCCGCAGCCTCTCAGTTCCTCCCACTGCCCAGTTCCAGGATGTGCCGGCCATGCTGGTGCACTTTGCGGTGCTGGCGGAGGCACAGGCAACCCTGGCACAGGAGGCAGAAGCTGGGCAGGAACGGCTGGCCCAGGGCAGGGCACGGCTCCAGCGGTGCCAGGAGGAGATGAGCACTGAGATCCTGAGCACCAATAATGAGCTGGCCCAACTCCACACGCGCCTGGAGGCTGCCCACCAAGATGTGCTCCAGTGGGTAAGAAGGGACATGGGGTGACCCAGGACCCCCACCAAGGGAAAGGGGCAGCAGTACAGACCCCCAGTGTCTGCAGAGGGGAGATGCCCCAAGTGGTGATGGTAAGCTGGGCTCCATCCCCTGGGCTGAGCTGAGGGTCCCCACATGTTCCCAGAAAGCAGCAGCTCTGCATGGGGGGATGCACAGCCAGGACTCCTGGCTCCCCCTGGCCTGGCCTGGGGGGTGCAGGAGGACACAGGGCAGTGGTAGGGGGGGGCCCAGGGCTTCGTTTCTGTCCCCCAGGAGTCCTGCTGGGCCCATGTCCAGAGCACAGCCACCCAGAAGACCCTGCTGCTGGGGCAGATCAAGCTGGCCGTGCTGAACCTCTTCCAGCTCTGCACTGCACGGCTCAGGATCCCCATGGATGTGGCCCTGGAGGACACTGAGGCCCAGTTGGACATGGTCAGTGCAGCCCTCTCCCCTAGGCAGCAGGGCTGGGGGACATAGGGACATTCATGTCTCTGGATGGCTGTGGCATCAGGCTCCCATCTTTGCAGTTGCTGCTCTGCATGCGGGGCCTGACTAACATCTGTACCACTGGCAGGCACCCACCGCGCCACAGGGGTGCCAGGCTGTCTTGGAGCCAGGAATAGCTCCTGGGAACACCTGGCTGCTCCCAGGGCTAGAGAGAGGCTGCCAAGGCCAGTGTGGAGCCACAGGACCCCTGAGAACAGAGGTCGCTCTCTGACAAGTCTGGGAACTCCATGATGAGAGGCAACATGGATGGCTGTGGCACAGGCACACTGGGGTGGCACTGCTCCAGGGCAGAACAGAGAGCTGCTGTTGGTATCTCCAAAGGTGTCTCCCATCAAAATACATCCCAGCTGTGGAGATGCAAGACTCGCTTGTTTTAGGATTACACCTGGGGGTGGCCTGAGGGAGGAGGAATAACCCCAGACCCGATGCTTGGAGCAAGGTCAGAGAGGAGTCGGGATGCAAAACCAGCCAAGTTTTTACTGTCTCCTTCCCTGACTCCCAGCCCAGGCATGGGGGGAGTGTTGGAGGCACAGTCCCCTCCCCTACATCCTCTTCCTCAGCTTGCCCTTCTTGGTGGTGCCCGCCCGGCGCCCGAAGGCCATTTGCCGCAGCTCCTGCACCCGCTGCCGGTTCCTGGCCTTGAGGCGCTTCAGGCCCCCGCTCTGCAGGAACCGCTGCTTGGCCGCCTTTTTGCGCTGCTTCAGAATCTGCTGCTTGTTCTTCAGCTCCGAGCGCACCCTGCCCTGGGCAGGGGGCTGCATGGGCCCTGCAAAGGGACACAGCCATGCTCAGGGTGGGGGAGAGCAGGGGAGGGGGGGAGGATGTGGGGGTCCATTGCTTGCTCCGGGTACTCACCGTGCCCGCGCTTGTGCTTCCCTCTGAACTGCTCCCTGCTCCGCTGGCCATCGTCATCCTCATCCCGCTCGTCAACCTTGTACTTCTGCTTCCACTTCTCGTAGCTGGGATGGGCAGGTTAAGGGAATGTGCAGGGACTCTCCTCACTTGGCCTGCTGTGGTGTCTCACTGTGCTCCCTCCCCTGGCCCCTGCCCTGGCAGGGGATGGATCTGCAGGAGCAGGGCCCAATGCCACGCGGCTGCCAGCGGGTCCAGCCCCACTCCCCCAAGCCCCCAGCCCAGGCAGCAGTGCCCCCAGGCAGGATACAGGTTGTTCTTGTAGGAGCTGCTGATGTAGCGCCCGCTCTCCGTCCGCACCTTTTTCTTGTCCTCCTGGCCTGTCTGCCCCACAAACCGCTTCTTCTTGCGGTCCCTGCGAGAGAGGGGAGTGCAGTGAGGCCAGGTGGTGGGATCCCCAGCCCTAACTGTGCCCCCAGCCCACGGCCAGACCCCACTCACCACTTGAGCAGCTGCTTGCTCTTGTTGAGGTTGTGGTTCTCATCGCCCATGAGATCCAGGACAGCCCCAGCCGCCTGCTGCTCGAAGGCGCTGCCCTCGCCGCCCACGCTCAGCCTGCAAAGGGGATCATGAGAGCGGCCCCTGCCCAGGCCGGGACAGGACAGGAGCAGGAGCCCCCCCAGACTCACCCCCGCTCACTCTCGAAGTCCTTGGGTCGGTATGGGATGTAGAAGTCCGTGTCTTGCTGTGCTGGCTGCTGTGACTTTTTCCTGGGACCATCTTCCCCCCCTCGGCCCCGTTTTCGCTTCTGGCCCACCACATTGGAGAACACATCCTGCACGGGGACAGTGGAGGGGCTGGGGGTGCCATGACCCCCCCCAAACATCCCTGCAAGTCTGTGCACCACCCCCCAAGCCGTGGCACAGTTTGGGGGCACAATTTTGCTGCCAACACTGGGCCAAAGCCGCTCTGCAGCAGCTCCTGTGTCCATGACCCTGTTACCTGGAAGTCTTCCTGTTCTCCTTCTCCTTCCCCGTCCTGGGGCCCAGGCGGGGCGTGGCACTGTCCTTTGAGTGCTGCTGTTCGCTTCTCCTGCTGCCCACGCTGGAACTTCTCAATCAGGGCGCTGTCGTGGCGCCGCTTGGACCTCATGACGGTGCTGGCCGGTGTCCGGGACGTGGCGTTGATCTCGAAGATGGTCTGTCCCCAGGGTGGGAGCATGATTCCCAGTGAGCCACATGGACCTTCCCTCCCACCCAGACCCAGGCAATCTCCACTCACCGCCTTGGACTTGTAGGTTTTAATGCTGTCCACGAACTTCAGCCTCTCCAGCTCAGTGTCTTCAAAGCGAGCGCCTGGGGAAGGTGGGCACAGAAAGGGGCACAGATCAGTTCCCTGGTGAGCGGGGTCCCCTCCCTCGGCACCCCCGAGGCACTCACTGAAGAGAGGGTGCATGCCCAGCTGGGACACATCCAGGTCCTTGGCTCTCTTGATGGACTCTGGCGAGGGGCCGGGCCGGGATCGCAGGTACTGCTTCTGGGCGTTGTCGGCGACGCGGCGCAGGCTGCGCAGCTCCAGCGAGCCCTCGTGGTCCGTCAGCAGCAGGCACTCCTCATCATCCACCAGGCTCTGGGGGACACGGCCCAGGACCCCACCAGCATCTGCAGCACAGGGGACACTGTGTCACCTCCCCAGCACCCACCCTGGATTTATCAGAGCAGCCCCAGGGAGATCGGTGGTGTTCAATCAGCACCCCCAACACCCCGTTTTCTGCATCGCCCCTCTGTGTGAGGGCCAACCATAAGACCACAAGCTCCAGCACTGGCCAAGGGTAATGCCCCAGTGGCCCCGTGTCTCAGCTTGGCCACACAGCCACTGCCTGCCTCACCAGCAGGCAGCTCCTGGGCTCCGGCGAGGATGAGCGGGCGTCCCAGGAAGAGGTGCAGGTCGAAGACATAGGGCATCTCGTCAGGAGCCACCAGCGAGTAGGCAGTGCCACTCCGGCCAGCTCGGGCCACACGACCTGGCAAGGGGAGGAGGAGAGTGAGAAACCAGACCTTGTGCCAGTCCATCCTGTCCCCACCCAGACAGGTACCCACTGGTGTCCCTGGGAGCCCACATATGTGGCATTTACCAGGTAGGCACGGTTGAGGAAGGGGCAAAGGAGAGCCCACCACAGTGCCATCCTGAAGGGATGGTGCCAGCTCTGCCCCCAAGAACCCCCACAGTCCAACTGGGACATCAGGGACACTCCTGACACTGCTTTGTCCCCAGCCTGTCCCCTGTTGTCACGACACGGCGACCTCCTGCCCCAAAGGTACCACCACCAAGCCAGGGACACCGGTGCCAGCTCAGCAGGCCACAAGGACGGGGAAAACAGGTGACAAAGCACAGCCCCCTCACACCCTCCCTGTCACCCTGAGGGACCCCCAGGACCCTGTGTGGGGCACCGGCACCCACCGACGCGATGCAGGAACAGCTTGCCCTTGGCGGGGAAGCTGAAGTTGATGACGTTGTCCAGCATGGGGATGTCCAGCCCGCGGGCGGCCACGTCCGTGACCAGCAGCACCGGGCACTTGCCCTGGGAGAACTTGGCGATGTTGATCTTGCGGGCGGTCTGGTCCAGAGAGCTGTAGATGTGGGTGCAGCGGATGCCCTGTGCCGTCAGCAGCTGGGGAATGGGGGGGAAGAGAGATTGGATCCCACCTGGGCATGGGCCCTCAGCCAGCAGACAGGGCCTGAGACTCCAGGGTGCCCACTCTGACACCCAAATCCCACTGTGCTCCACCTCCCTGAGGGGTGGGTGGATGCAGCACCTCCACAATCACCTATGCTGGGATTTGTTCTTCAACCCACTGAAACAGTGGCAGAAACTCCAGCAGAGATATCCACAGCTGAAGACCCCACATGGGTCTGGAAAAGGGTCCTAGGTGCCCCCCAGGAGTACATGCTGGGCACCTCCAAATGCCACTTACCTCCTTCAGATACTCCGTGTGGTGCTTGGTGGCCACGAAGACGACGGTCTGGTCCTGGGGCTTCACCACACTGCGGAGCAGGTGGAGCAGCACGGCCGGTTTGTCGTCCCCACGCACGTGGAAGAACGCCAGCTGTGACAGGAGGGCAGCGCTCAGCCCTGTGACCCTCCTGTGCCAGCCCTGCCACCCTTGTCCCCTCCTCAGGGGCAAGGGGCTTGTAGGAGGTGCGGGCACAAAGCCCCTCTCACCTTGAGCTGCTCGCTCAGCTTGGACTCCACATCCAGGCGGATCAGCATCGGCTCGGTGAGGCCTGTGGAATGTGGGACACATAGGACATGAGTCACATGTGGGATGTGCTACTGGGACCAGCCCCACTGAGGGGCTTGGGGACACCAAGTGTTAATCCAGCTCGGTTTTGTCAATGCTGGGATCAGCCCAGCTGTGGGACCGTGTTTTGTCCCCCAGTGCCACCGATCCCCTGCTCCTCACCGGCCCGGGCAAATTCGACGAGCAGCTTGGGCAGTGTGGCAGAGAAGAGGACGGTCTGGTGGCAGTCTGGGAGCCGGGCAATGATCTCCTGGAGCTGCTCAGCAAAGCCCATCTCGAAGAGCCTGCAGGGCAGGGGATGTGGGATGTGGCAGGTCCCTCTCTGCCACTGCCTGGTCGCCTCACCCCACTGCAAGGACACATATGGGGACACTGCCAGTCCTGGGACCCACCCTGTGCCCCACTGACCTGTCGGCCTCGTCGAACACCACGTACTCCACAGTGTGCAGCTTCAGCTTCATCTCCACTGCCACGTGCACCAGGCGCCCGGGGGTGGCGATGATTCTGTGGGGACAGAGGTGGTGACGGGACCAAGTGGGAGGGATGGTGTCCCCACCCCATACTTGGAGCAGATCCCAAATCCAACCCAAAGAAGTTCCACAGGAAGATGCTCCAAGGGAACACCAGGACATCAGGCATACTGTCTCTAAACATCAGTGATATCCCCAGATAAGGGATATCATTTCCAGGGGCCACTTCCCCACCACGTCCCCTCCCTGTGTCCCACTCACATGTCTGGGTTCTCGTGCAGGGCAGCAAACTGGTCCTCCATCCTGTGAGAGAGGGGAGAGGCTGGAGTAGCAGGGGCAGCTCAGCCTCTCACCAGGTTTTGAGGAGATTCTAGGGAAGCAGGGACTGGTGGGGGACACAGGGACAGCTTACTTGTCTCCTCCCAGGATCAAGGCTGTCTTCAAGCCCGTGAACATGCCCAGCTTCGGGGTGAGAAAGAACCACGTTGGAAACCAAACCCATCACTCCCATTGATCTCACTCACCCCTGTTGTCCCCTGTACCTCCTTGGTGAACTTGAGGGTCTGCAGGGCCAGCTCCCGGGTGGGCGAGAGGATGAGGGCACGTGCCCCGGCCTGGCTGGGCGCCTTGAGCCGCTCAAACATGGGGATGAGGAAGCAGGCCGTCTTCCCGCTGCCCGTCCGTGCCATCGCCACCACGTCCCGGCCACGCAGGATGGCGGGGATGGTCTGTGAGACACCGCCGTCACTGCCATCGCTCCCCTGCCACCCCTCGGGGAGGGGACCCACCGCCCCCCACGCTCACCTTCCTCTGGATGGGAGTGGGCACCTTGTAGCCCTTCTTCATGATGCCCTTGAAGACGGGGTAGCTGAGGCCTGGGGGGATGGGGACAGGTGAGGGGGCGTGGGTAGGAGGGGTCAGTCTCCATCCCAGGGACAGCTGTCCCCTACTCCACACTCACCCATCGACTGGAAGCCCCCTGATTTCTTCTTCTTCTGGTTCTGGGCCCGAACCATGGCCTGGGTGTCCAGCTCGGCATCGGCACCATCGTCCTCCTCGGTGGCGGTGGGGAAGGCAGGCAGGGCAGGTGCAGGGACCTGGGGACAAGGCTGCGGGGATGGGTGTTACAGTGGGGCCAGGGCACTATAGCTCTGCACTGCTGGCATCGAGGGCAGGGACATCCATGCTGGGGACAGGGGGTGCCAGGGACACTGGCACTGGGGACATTGGCAATGGGGACATAGGTAAGTACTGGACACACAGGTACTGGGGACATCGGCAATGGGGACTTGTACTAGTGATCCTGGTACTGGGGACACTGGCACTGGTGACGCTGGCATTAGGGACAGAGGTAGGTACTGGGGCCATTGGCACTGAGGACACCGGTACTGGGGAGAGTGGCACTGGGAAAATCGGCACTGGGGACATCGGCACTGAGGACAGCAGTCCTTGGGACGCTGGCACGCGGCAACTGGCGACACGGGGACGGGACACACGGGCACCAGGAACACTGGCACGGAGGACGCCAGCATAGGGTGCACCGGGGACGCCGGCACACGGGGGCCGGGCACAGCGGTACCGCGGACACCGCACACGCCTCGGGGCCCTCCCGCTCCCCCCGCTCCCCCCGTACCGGCGCTCCCCGGGGCTGGCGGCTGCTGCGCGGCGGCGCCATGGCGGGACCGGCGGCGGAACCACGTGGGGGGCGGAAGGGGCCGGGCCGGGGCCGGGCCCGCCCCGGGGCCATGCGGGCGGGGGCACCGGCACCGGGACCGGCCCCGGGCGGCTGCTCCGCTCCTGCCGCCGCCGCCCCCCTGCCGCGGGTTCCCCGGGGCCGCCGGCGTGCCCGGGCCTCTTTCGTGGACGAGTCGCTGTTCGGGCGCCCCGCGGGGGCCCGCCCGCCGCCGCCCGCCTTCGCGCCGCCCTGGGCGCCTCCCCCGGCTCCCGCGGCCGGCGGCTCCCGGCCGAGGAGTCAGTGCAGGTGAGAGGCGGCTCGGGGCGCTCCCCCGGTCCTGCTCGCACCGGCCCTGCGCCCCTGGTCTTGCTCGCACCGGCCCCGCAGCTCCCGACCCGCTGTCCCGCATTTCGGGGCTCACTACGCGTGAAGGGGGTCGGTGGCTCCCGGGAGGGTCTGGCGGGGGAGTCTCAGCCTCCCACGGCGCTCTGTCCCCACTCGGGAATCCCTCCCCATCCCGCTCGGGTCTCGATGATGCCGTTCTAACCAACACGTGTCTCCGCTTGTCGCCCCGCCAAGGTCCCGAAGCCACGTTCCGTCCTTCTGCGACGAGTCCCTGTTCGGTGCCAAGCCCCAGGGTGCCGCCTGGGCAGCTCCGTGCATGAGGAAACAAGACATAGCCAAGCTCCATACGCTGCTTTGGAGTCCCCCGCCCGCCCCTCGAAACCAGCCCGGCCTTTCCCCCCGACTCCAGGGGGACACCCCTGAGAGCCGTGCACCCGCCAGCCACTGCCCCTCCGGCCACAGCGGGCTCAGAGCCCGGCCACAGGGGCAAATCCGGGGGCTGGAAGTGTCCCGAGAGCAGTGCTTGCTCCGAAGGCTGGGGGGCTCCTGGCAGAGGACGTTCCCAGTCTGTCAGCCGGCTCAGCGCCCCCTTGGAAAGGCTCCACCTGGCTTCAGACAACCTTGGGACAGAAAGGTGGAAAAACCAGAGTGCTCCCATAAGCCCTGCCTCCTCCGGAGGCCCTCTGATGAGGGGCAGATCTAAAAGCCTGTCCGGACCTCCTGTGGCCAGGAATGCCAAGGCAGCAGGTGGCTGCAAGCCTAGACCACCCTGGAAGTGATGCCAAGTGTCTCTCTGGATGTACATAACAGGCTTAGACTACCTGAGACCTCCCAGCGACCAAGTGAGTGAGGACCCTGCGCTTTTCCGTGGCTGGAAACAAAGGATGGGGCTGTTCCATGCTGGAGGACAAGCCAGGAGCCAGAGGTGACCACAGCACTGGGGGCAGTGACCTCCCTGTGCAGGGCACAACCCCACAGTACCCAAGTGGCATGGCCTTGGTGGGAACAGCCACTTCCATCGATGTCCAGTTGTCATCAGATGAGGTGTGGTAACGAGTCGGATTCCTGCTGTCTGCAAAATCCATCTGGGAAGTCGGAGCAGCAGGAGACAGGAGTGCCCACAGGGTAGTCCAAGGCCCGTCCAGGAGAAAGACCAGGCACAGGTACAGTGACAGCACAGAGCAGAGGGGACAGGCAGGACTCAGCTCATCAAGCTCCCAAAAGAGGAAGCAGGGGATGCCACTGGGGTGGGGGTCCCAGGTGAGGGCAGCCAGGGCAGCTGAGGGTCCCAAAGGGGACCTTTGCTGACCAGTTCTGGGGATAGGAGTCCTGCTCTGTTCTGCCTGTCACGTGCAATCACAGGATCACTTGTGCCTGTGGGAATGCAGGTGATCCCTATTCCAACCTCCTGCTCATGACAGGTGAGCTTTGGCTTTATCCAGTCAGGTGCTGGAGACCCCCAAGGATAGAGGCTGCACAGCCTCTCCAGCCCTTCTCCCACTGCTCCACTGTCCTCGAGGCAGAAACCTTCCCTTTGTATCCAGTCAGAGCCTTTGCTGTTTCAATTTGTGTCTGTTCTCATTCTGAGCACAAAGCTTGGCCCAACCTTTATGGTCGCCTCCTCTTTGCAGGTACTGGGTGGCTGCTCTTAGGGCCCCACAAAAACATTCCCTTCTCCAGAGAAGGAGCCCCATTCCCTCTGCCTCCGTGCACAGGACGTGTGCGCCTGCCCCGACGGCCTCGGTGTCATCGACGCTTTATGGTCTCCTCTGGCAAGTCTGGAGAAGGGAGGACAGAGCTCGGAGATGAGGAATGGCATCACCCTGCATCCTGCTGGTGGTGGGATGGCCCCAGGCTGGGTGGGGTTTGTGACAGAGAAGGATCAGCTGCAGGGATTTTGGCAGCTCGTGGTGATGAGCTGCTGAGCGGACACATAACCCTATGGCTTGTGCCGAGGGTTGTTCACAGCAGTGCCGTGCTGTCACCAAATAAAGGATCCAAGGCAAATCTGGGACCTCATGTTCGGTCCGTGGGATGCTGGTGAGCCATCTGGGCATCTCCAAAGACTGTCTCAGTAAACCAGCTCCTCAGTTTCCATCCCTGAGGTGGGAAAGAGCGGCTTGGTCTGTAGGAATATAGGTAGGGAGGCAGATGAAGGACATGGGCTGGATGACGTGGGATTTGCAGTCACTGCTCCCTGGGGAGGGAGGCTGTGGTGAGGAGCCCATGAGGTCGGGGAATACAGGAGAGTCCTGGCAGTTTGGTAACTCCCTCCAACACAAAGGGAAACACTCCAGCACGCCCAAGGACACACTGAGCCAGGTTAAGAGCATCATTCTGCCCCCAGAAATCATTTTATTGCACCCTGAGCAGCAGCAGGATTGTGCCTTGGCCCACTGCAATATGTGGAGCTGGAGCCAGGCAGGAGCCTGCCCTGCATGGATTTTATGCTTATTTCTTGGCCTTTATGCCCCCTTCCCTTTTTCTTCATCTCCAGCCTGAGGAATGTCTGGAACAGGCAGCTTTTCTGAATGTGGGTGTTGTGGCTGTACAGCTCAGGTTGCAGCTGTATTTCTTCCATCCCACTCATTCTCCTGCTGTGTCCAGGAACAGCAGGTAAGCAGGGTGTGTTTCTCCTTCGGGACAAGCCCTTTCCTGGGTGCTGACAGCACAAAGTGCCTCTGGTTCAGACTGGCAAGGCAGCAGGTGCCAGTTCCTGCAAGCCTGAGGGCACTGAGCAGGTTCCTCCTGCACATCCCTATGGAGGGATCCTTTTACCTATCCCAAATCTGGGTAGAATTGCCCCTGGCTGCTGAACTGAGCCTTGCCAAGGGATCAGATGAAGGAAATGTGCCTGGAATGGGACTTCTCAAGAGGTGCCAGGTCTAAATAGCTTCGTGCTCCTTTGAACCTCCCCAGAAAGCCGAGGACAGGTGGGTTTGTTGGCACTCAGCAGAGGAGGAGGGTTAGGGGACCCAGCATTCCTGGGGCCTGGTGCTCCAGCCACCTTTGGCAGACAGGAAGCAAGAATAGTCTGATGTTGTTAAAACCTGAGAGGGTGAGTGAGGATCCTCGGGATCACCTCCAAGACCTTGGATCTTTCCCTATGCTTCCCACTGTGGCAGTCCAGCAGCTCTTCTCCACCTGGGTAAAAACTGGAGGGACATGGAACAACTGGGGCCTTCTCAGAATAGGGGCTGGGGTGAACCTGAGCCTGCTCAGCTTAATTTGGGATGTGGGCACAGTGAAGTGCAACCTGTGAAGGCTGTGATTTGGACACTAGATGGAGACAAGAGGGTTGAGGATTGACAGAAAAGCAGGAACACTGTTCGCCAGCAGCAGGGGGATGAGTCGGATTCAGTGGAGTGAATCATCAGCCCACTGGGGTAACTGCCCTGAAATCTCAGCAGCAGAGAACTGACCCAGTGCAGTACTGGAGAGCTGGAGACCTTGAAAGGTGAAGCCTCCTAAAATCAAGAGAGATTTTATCTGAAAAATGAGTTGGCAGGGGCTTGTATGGACAGTTTGCTCCTACTGTTGTGTTCAGGCTCCAGGGAATGAGCAGGGAAAACTCGGAGCCCATCTCATCAGTCACACGCTTTCCTGTCCCTGGTGTCACTGAGGGCTTCCAGGAGGTCAGACCTGGCACTTCCTCGCTATTTACACCACAAGGGCAATGTTGGTGAAATAGAAATGGGTTTATATGGGTTGTTTGCATTTTGTTCTGTGATTCTCATTCTCATGGGTGCTTTACTGTTGCTCTGTCCTCTTGTTCTGCCAGGGCTGTGCAGCCCAGCACAAGAGCAAAAGCGGCTCCATTACCTCTGGGCTGCCCTGCCTGCTGGAACTGGTGCTTGTGTGGAAAAAAAAACATTAAATCTATATCAAATGAGGCAGGGAGAATGTTCATTTTTTTCCTAGCTCCAGATCCACCCTGTCCAGTGTCACTGATGCTCACTTGGCTCAGGCAAGAGTTGTTGATACAGAGGCCTGAATCAAGCTAGGACTCCTGCCTGCTGCTGCTCTCATTTCTCTATCTGCTCAGCACTGCTATAAATCTCACTTTCAGCTTTTCACTCAACCCTGGCTCCTTTGACTTGAGTCTCTCAGCAGAGTACCAGCTGCTCTGGGAGCTTCCAAAATCACCTGTGCCCAGCCCTAGGTGCAACAAAGGATGTTTTGATGTGTGGGCAGTGTAACCTTTGCTCTGCTTGGCCCAGAACAGCTCCCTTGTTTCTCCACACACACCTGTGCCTGCAGCGGCTGCCGTGCAGCCCCTCCGACCTGGAACCCATCCTGAACTGAACTCCCCATCCAAAACCCCCTCCTCAGAGCGCTGTCCCTAGTGCACACGCACTGGAACAGGTTCATTCCTTACACACCGGGCTGCTCGCTTCCAGCTTGGGAATCCTCACCTCATCAGGCACGGAGGGACTCCCAGGGCCTCGGGATGTGTGTTCTGTGGTGGGGCCCTCACAGCAACCCGCGGGGCTGGGCTGGGGTGCCCTTGGGGCTGGACTGATCCCTGCAGCCAGCGGGAACAGGGACGTCCCTTCTGGAGCGGGGGGGAACGGGGTGGCCTGGCCCAGGAGCTCATGTGGGGGTCCCCGGGGAAAGTGTCCCGGTCCAGCCCCGGAGCGAGAGGGGTCCCCGGGGGTGCTGTCCCGGTCCACCCCAGGAGCGGGGGTGTCCCGGGGGGTGTTATCTCGGTCCAGCCCCGGAGCGGGGGTGTCCCAGCGAGGATCCCCTCCCGGTTCCCCTCAGGGCTGCCCGGGCCGCTCCCGCCGTTGCCCGGCAACCGCTCCGCTCCCTCTGACCCCCGGGGGCGGGGCCTCGGCGCAGCCAATGGCAGCCCGCGCTCTCCTCCCAGAGAGCCCACCCCCGCCACCTCGGACCAATCAGCACCGCTTTCTGTCGTGAGGGACAGCGCCGCTACCCAATGGCGAGGCGACGTACGCGAGCGGAGGAGGAGGGAGGCGGGAACACCGCGAGTTCTCCCGCAGGGGGCGGGGCCGGGCGCGGCGCGCGGATTGGCGGGAGATGCGGAGGCTCCGCCCTTTCGGGCGGGGCCTCGGGCGCGGCAGCCAATAGGGAGGCGCGGTGGGCGGGGCCGCGCGCGCGGGGCGCTGAGGAGCCGCGGTCGCTGCGGGCGCCGGTTCGGAGGGGCCGGGACGGGCCGGGGGGTCCCGGGGGGGCTCGGGGGGTCCCGGAGGGTCCCGCGGGCACGGAGGGCCGGAGCGGAGCTAGTGTGCGCGTGGGTGAGGGGGGCGGCGGGGCCGGAGGGGGGTGCGCGGAGAGGCGGCGGGGCCGGGCCGGGCCGGGCTCCGTGACAGCCCCCGTGTCCCTCCCGCCGGGCAGGGGCAGCTTGTGTGGGTTGTCCCCGCGGCGCTGCCCCGGGCCTGCCTGATTTTCCCTTTCCCCCGTTACCTTTTAGAGAAGCCCGTGTGACCTTGCGGGGCACCGCGCAGTTAGAAATATCCCACGGGAACTTCATGTGTGCGGACTCCAAGCGGCCTCCGGGGCTCCCTGTTTCCCGTCCCCAGCCGGGGCCGAGGCGTGCGGGCTCGTCGGGGGACAGAGCCATGTGCGACGGGGACACTTAGCACCATGCTGGCTCCGCATGCGACGCTCCCGCTGCCCCTGGTGCCGAGGGGTCAGGAGTTTGCCAGGGAACGCTTTTCCTGCTCCCCTGCCGCCCTGCGCTGGCTGGGATAGGCAGCCCCCGACCTCGCTTTTTGAGTTCAGCTTTGGCATAAATACCTCGAGCCCGGCGTCCTGCTCTTGCTTTTTGCAAGGCAGATAACTCGACCTCCTCCTGGAACTCTGGTCTCCGGAGATGGGTGCGTGTAGTGTTGTATCCCTGTGTCCACAAGACAGCCCCGATGGAAGACTTTCCCGGGAGAGGTTTTGACACGAGCATTTCTCAAGTGGGACTGGAAAAGGCGTTATTTAAAGCTCTGGGAGCAGCAGCCTCTGGAGGGACGGGATGGCCGTGAGCATGGACGATGACGTTCCCCTCATCCTCACCCTGGACGACAGTGGGAGCACTGCCTCAGCCCCTCTGGATGACCTGGACCGGGAGGAGCTGCCTAACGAAAGTAAGATCCCTTTGTCATTCCCTGCCCACTTGTTTTGTCTCTTTTGGGGTGGCTGCTCTTCCCGGTGCTTGCCAGGGCCTGAAACTCTTGGAGTTGCCTCTCGGCATCCCGGGGCTGCCTGAGAAAATCACATCAGGAAGTTGCTGCTTGTGTTGGTTGTTTGCTCACAGCTCCGTGTGACACTGAACAGGCTGGATGGGTCCTACCAGTGCTGTTTCTAGCACACATATTTTGTGGTTTCTGGGTGACCTTAAGCCCACCCTCCTCCACGCGTTCCCTGAACGTCTCCTTCCCTTGGCACTGCCCCACTGCAGTTACCTCATGTAGTATTTTCCTACCACTGTAAACATCTGTCCTTTACAACTGTCGTTTTGCTCGCTTCTTGGTTTGCATTCTGATTTTTGCAATAAGAAAAGTGATAATGGGCCGATAAATCCCTTTAACATTTTTATTGTGTTCTTGTCGAACAACTTGGAGTACTTTTAGACAATTATTCCTGCTGGTGTGAGTCCCAGGTGTTCAGTGGGTCAGAGCCAGTCTGGGAGCACTGAGAGGGGAAAAACAAAAGCCACCATCCCTCAGCAGCTTTGGGGTTTTTGTATCTTCGTTAAAGCCATCACCCTGCAGCAGGTTGGATGGGGACAGAGATGTGTCTGAGCATGTTCAGGGCGTTTCTGGCTTGTGTTACACTGTGTCGCTGAATGTTATCTGAGCAGTTTTGTTCCCCACATCCCTGTGACTTCCAGCTGACATTGCAGGTGCACGCACAGGTCTTGTGATCCCGTTCCAGCCCTTTGTGCCACAAGCTGAACATTTGTAACAAAGAAATCGTTTCCTGGCCGGGCATCCTTTTTTTTTTTTTTTTCCCCCCCCCCCATTATTCTTCTGTGCCTCTGAGATTTGATTCCTCTTGTAATCAGATGGGTTCCCTTAATTTGCTCCTCCTGTGACTTCCCAATTCAAGAGTGAGTTTTGGACAATAAAGATTCCTCCTCCCTCCTCCCCTCTTCTCCCACCCCTGCAGCTGACTTTCTTTTGAGCTCTGCTGCATCCTTGCTCCATCCCATCTGTTTGTCTTTTAAAGTTTAGCTCTCTATTTTTAAGTTAAATTGAAGAGAGAATTCTTCCTCCATCCACTGATGTATATATAGGATTCCTTGTGACTAATTTTAATCACTCTTCTCTCTTTCTTCCCCCCACCTCCCATCCCTTCAAAGAAGAAGTTGGGTGAGGCTTAACGTTTGCTTAAAGCCAACACTACTGTGTTAAAGCACAGGCATGAGAATGGATGCATTAATAAATAAAAATACTCCACAATCTGCCTCCCTGGAAATACGGGGAAGTTGTTTAGGGACCAATTTTGCGCTTCTTAAAAGATTGCTGTGGGATTTCTGAGACTTCATTTCCTGGGATTCTCCAAATGAAATGTCTTTTATTTTGCCCTATGTTTTAATCGCTGTTAAAGTTGGATTTGCCACAAAAATATGAAGCTTATTCTATGCAAGTGATAGGGAAGGAGCCTTCTGAAGTCAGGGTGGGATGGAGGATTAGAGGAGGAAGGCTGGCATCAACAACTTGAAAGGCACGTTTATCTCTGAGAAGCGGGAAGCTTTAAATGAGCGAGTGAGCACAGTGACACCACCACTGGCAGAAGTAAGCTTGTTTAAAAAGCAGGACGTGTAGTGCAGCTTTTCCTCTTTGCCTGCGTGGAAAATCTGCTGTGAAATGCGGCAAAGTTGTGTCTCACGGAGGCTGTGAGGAATCAAATGTGTCCTCTCTGCTCTGCTCTGCACCCCCTTTGCTGCTGAGGACCGAAATGGCATTAACAGAACTGTGTAATGTCGTGTTTTTAGTCAGTGACTTGTCTTTCCCAGGGAAAAAGAGTATGTGAGAAGTTCTTGTTAAGAGAGGGAGGGCCTCCCAGGGTGATGATGAGGACATGGAGACAGGGAAGGTCAGGAGGCTGTTTCCTTCTGGTTTTGTCTTCCTTTTGCGTAAACTCTCGTAATAGAACAGTCAGCCAGAATTTGGAGGAACAGCTCACTTGTTCCTGTGCCTCACCATCAACTCCAGAGGATTGAGTAGCAGGTTAAACACAAAGCTTCTATTTCAGTGTGTCCCCAGAACAGGCTGGGACTGTTTGCAGTGACCCATCATCCTCTTCCAAGTGACACCAATGGAGAGACAAAGTGGCTGTAACTGCCCTTTGTTAAATCATGTTTGTGGTTGATCATAATTTTCACCCTTGTTTTGTGTTGCTGCATCCCCAAACCTAAGTTTTAATCCATTTTCCTGTCACAAGTGTCTCCTTTAGTGCTGTGTACCTGTGTGGTTCTGTGTATCAGCTCTCGTGTTATTTAAGGAACTTGCTGTGCTTTTAAAAGAAAAAAAACCTACCCATGGTGTGGCTTTGTTACAGTCAGGTCCTTGGATAGATGAATTTGTAGCTTTGGACTCTTGGTGTTGATTGTCTGGAAGTGCAGACAAGTTACCTGGTTGAAATAAGTAGAAACAGGGTTTTCCAAAAGCAATAGCAGATATAAAAAGAAAAGACTGAAGTGCAGGAGTGGATTCTTTTCCAAAGCTTTCAGAAGAGTCCTCTCCTGGGTAAGTGAATGTCTTGGGGTTAGAATAAAAGGAAGCTAAAGGAGAAAATTGCGTGGAAAATTACATTCTTAGACAAAATGTCCAGCTGCAAAAATTAATCTCCCAAATAATCCAGCTCTTAAGCACTTAATGGGAGAAAATACTTGCATGGGGAGGAATGTTAAACCTCTGCCTTGCTTGGCTTGTGCTGGGATACGGGGCTTCCAGGGAGCTCCTGTTTGCAGCCACCACAAAGGATCAGAATCCTGCAAAGTTGACAGGAATTCAGACCACAGCCAGAAAAATGTGGTCCCTGTGGCGCTGGTGGTTTTCTGACTACACCGAGCAGGACTTCAGCGCTGGGTAATTTTTCTTTCAAGCTCCAGCAGCTGAAGGA